GACATTCCAAACGTGCATGGTACCTGTACTGCAGGCGCACATACCTACCAAACTGACCAGCGCATTATTTATGTTTGTAGAGACAGTTGGTACCATTTTCTTGCCAGTCTACTAGATTAGGCATTGTACTTTGATTAAACTAGGTTCTAACCTTTTCGATCCACATAATTTTGGAGATTTCAGAGTTTCAGCTACGCCTTGTACATGCACACAAGCGTGCATACCGACCGAACCGACCAACGCATTATTTTCTATGTAGAAACACAGCAAGTACCACATATGTTTCCATTTTCCTTTATAGTATACCATTCCCCACCACCTTACCAAGTTCTAACCTTTTAAATCTACATAATCTGACAGATATAGACATTCAAAACGTGCGTGGTACTTGTACTACAGGCGCGCATGCTGACCAAACTGACCAGCGCATTACTTATATTTGCAAAGACATTTAGTACCATTTTCTTGCCAGTCTACTAGATTAGGCCTTGTACTTCAATATAACTAGGTTCTAACCTTTTCGATCCACATAATTTGGGAGATTTCAAAGTTTCAGCTACGCCTTGTACCTGCACACAAGCGTGCATACTGACCGAACCGACCAACGCATTATTTTCTATGTAGAAATATTACGAGTATCACATATGTTTCCCTTTTCCTATATAATATACCATTTCCCACCCCCCCACCATGTTCTAACATTTTAGATCCACATAATTTGACAGATACACTGAACTAAATAATTGTCCTTATAGATTCGAGCTCAACATTAACTTGAACACATTTGTAATATAAACAAGTAATGTTTATAACAAACTGCCTTCAGGGTTCGCGTCTGAGTGTTACCAGTTCGTGTTGGTTACCTATAGCCCCAAAAAACGCACGCGCTCTAACGAGTCAGCTTTCCCCACTCGACACCCCACATGGACAAATACTTCCGTTATGTCTCGCGCTTTATTTCGTGCGCAGTTAGATCTAGAATAGCTTGGTATAGAGGAGATTACGAGCCCCGTCGTTGATCTGCAAGTAGATCTAACACCCCCTCAGCATGAAGCGCCTTAGTGCGGCGAAACAGAAGCGCATCATGCAGCTAATAGCAGCCGGGCGTAGTTATCGCCAAATCGCTAAAGAGTTGGGAGTTTCGAAAAGCGCAGTGCATGACGAGCTCCTCCGCCACCTCGGTCCGAAAACGTATAGTGAGCTAGTGCCTTCCCCGCCGAAACCTGGTCGACCGCGCAAGCTACCAGAGCAAGTCGCTAGGATTGTTGTTCGGTCGATCGTTTCCGGAGAATCGAAATCCGCCGAGGCCGCAGCAGGAATGCTAGCTTCAACGCACGGCATTAGCGTCACGGGCGCCACCATTCGAAACACTCTCAAGCGGCACAGCGTTAAGGCGATAGAAAAGCCTTCGAAGCCACGTTTATCCGCGAAAACGGTTAAGGACCGCCAGCAGTGGGCCAAGGACCATCAGCATTGGACAGTCGATGACTGGAAACGGGTGATTTGGAGCGACGAAACTAAGATTTGCCGGTTTAGTAGCGATGGGCGTAGTTGGGCCTGGATTCGCGGGGACTGTCACATGGAGCCGCACCATGTGAAACAGACCGTCAAACATGGTGGCGGCTCCATCATGATTTGGGGGTGCATGACCTATCAGGGAGCGGGTTTTATGTGTAAGATGTGAGCATGTGGACAATTTTTTCGTTCAGTATATAGACATTCCAAACGTGCATGGTACCTGTACTACAGGCGCGCATGCTGACCAAACTGACCAGCGCATTACTTATATTTGCAGAGACATTTAGTACCATTTTCTTGTTAGTCTACTAGATTAGGTCTTGCACTTTAATATAACTAGGTTCTAACCTTTTCGATCCACATAATTTGGGAGATTTCAGAGTTTCAGCTACGCCTTGTACCTGCACACAAGCGTGCATACTGACCGAACCGACCAACGCATTATTTTCTATGTAGAAATACAACGAGTATCACATACGTTTCCGTTGTCCAATATAATATACCATTCCCCACCCCCCCACCACGTTCTAACCTTTTAGATCTACATAATTTGACAGATATAGACATTCCAAACGTGCATGGTACCTGTACTACAGGCGCGCATGCTGACCTAACTTACCAGCGCATTACTTATATTTGCAAAGACATTTAGTACCATTTTCTTGCCAGTCTACTAGATTAGGCCTTGTACTTTAATTTAACTAGGTTCTAACCTTTTTGATCCACATAATTTGGGAGATTTCAGAGTTTCAACTACGCCTTGTACCTGCACACAAGCGTGCATACTGACCGAACCAACCAACGCATTATTTTCTATGTAGAAATACAACGAGTATCACATATGTTTCCTTTTTCCTATAAAATATACCATTTCCCACCCCCCCACTATGTTCTAACATTTTAGATCTACATAATTTGAAAGATATAGACATTCCAAACGTACATGGTACCTCTACTGTAGGCGCGCATACCGACCAAACTGACCAGCGCATTATTTATGTTTGTAGAGACAGTTGGTACCATTTTCTTGCCAGTCTACTAGATTAGGCCTTGTACTTTAATAAAATTAGGTTCTAACCTTTTCGATCCACATAATTTGGGAGATTTCAGAGTTTCAGCTATGCCTTGTACCTGCACACAAGTGTGCATACTGACCAAACTGAACAACGCATTATTTTCTATGTAGAAATACAACGAGTATCACATATGTTTCCGTTTTCTAATGTAATATACCATTCCCCACCCCTCCACCACATTCTAACATTTTAGATCCACATAATTTGACAGATATAGACATTCCAAACGTGCATGGTACCTGTACTACAGGCGCGCATGCTGACCAAACTGACCAGCGCATTACTTATATTTGCAAAGACATTTAGTACCATTTTCTTGCCAGTCTACTAGATTAGGCCTTGTACTTTAATTTAACTAGGTTCTAACCTTTTTGATCCACATAATTTGGGAGATTTTAGAGTTTCAACTACTCTAACCTTGTACCTGCACACAAGCGTGCATACTGACCGAACCAACCAACGCATTATTTTCTATGTAGAAATACAACGAGTATCACATATGTTTCCTTTTCCTATATAATATACAATTTCCCACCCCCCCATCATGTTCTAACCTTTTAGATCTACATAATTTGACAGATATAGACATTCCAAACGTGCATGGTACCTGTACTGCAGGCGCGCATACCGACCAAACTGACCAGCGCATTATTTATGTTTGTAGAGACAGTTGGTACCATTTTCTTGCCAGTCTACTAAGGTAGGCCTTGTACTTTAATATAACTAGGTTCTAACCTTTTCGATCCACATAATTTTGGAGATTTCATTGTGTCAGCTACGCCTTGTACATGCACACAAGCGTGCATACCGACCGAACCGACCAACGCATTATTTTCTATGTAGAAATACAACGAGTATCACATATGTTTCCATTTTCCTATATAATATACCATTCCCCACCCCCCCACGACGTTCTAACCTTTTAGACCCACATAGTTTGACAGATAAAGATATTCCAAACACGCATGGTACCTGTACTACAGGCGCGCATGCTGACCAAACTGACCAGCGCATTACTTATATTTGCAAAGACATTTAGTACCATTTTCTTGCCAGTCTACTAGATTAGGCCTTGTATTTTAATAATACTAGGTTCTAACCTTTTCGATCCACATAATTTGGGAGATTTTAGAGTTTCAGCTATGCCTTGTACCTACACACAAGCGTGCATACTGACCGAACCGACCAACGCATTATTTTCTATGTAGAAATACAACGAGTATCACATATGTTTCCATTTTCCTATATAATATACCATTCCCCACCCCCCCACCACGTTCTAACCTTTTGGATCTACATAACTTGACAGATATAGACATTCCAAATGTGCATGGTACTTGTAATACAGGCGCGCATGCTGACCAAACTGACCAGCGCATTACTGAAGTTTGTAGAGACAGTTGGTACCATTTTCTTGCCAGTATACTAGATAAGACATTGTACTTTAATATAACTAGGTTCTAACCTTTTCGATCCACATAATTTTGGAGATTTCAGAGTTTCAACTACGCCTTGTACATGCACACAAACGTACATACCGACCGAACCGACCAACGCATTATTTTCTATGTAGAAACACAGCAAGTACCACATATGTTTACCTTTTCCTTTATAATATACCATTCCCCACCACCCTACCAAGTTCTATAACCCTTTGGATCTACATAATTTGACAGATAGAGATATTCCAAACGTGCATGGTACCTGTACTACAGGCGCGCATGCTGACCAAACTGACCAGCGCATTACTTATATTTGCAAAGACATTTAGTACCATTTTCTTGCCATTCTACTAGATTAGGCCTTGAATTTTAATAATACTAGGTCCTAACATTTTTAATCCACATAATTTGGGAGATTTCAGAGTTTCAGCTACGCCTTGTACCTGCACACAAGCGTGCATACTGATCGAACCGACCAACGCATTATTTTCTATGTAGAAATACAACGAGTATCACATATGTTTCCATTTTCCTATATAATATACCATTCCCCACCCCCCCACCACGTTCTAACATTTTAGATCTACATAATTCTGTCAACGAGAACGGACTGGAATGATGAACTAGCAAGGATTGTGAGTACAAATATGAAACCCTAATGTTGTGACCCCCTTATAGGCTAACCCACTACAGCCTACACAAATACAACATGTATAATGTTTGACACACCCCCATAGGCAAAGTGGGGGAGACCTAGGGGTCACAAGACCAGTCAAGGCAAAGCAAGGCAACAACAAGCTCAGGGTGGATCTCAAGGATTCCACACAAATTCCGAGCACAAGCTAGTGGTCACAAGACCAGTTCACATGCAGGTTTATAACAGAGCAAGAGATACAGTGATCACAACCTAGCAAGAGTAAACATGCAGGTATAGATATATATAGTGATCACAGTACAAGCAAAGTCAAGAGGTAAGTAAGTGAGGTCCAGTAGGCACAAGGCCTAGTAGAGTGCAGAAGCGCTGATGGTCACGAGGCTGAAGCGCCTTGGTGAACACATCAGCAGTGTTGGCCTCAGTGGCCACGTAGCGAATACAAAGCTGACCGCGCTGCTGCAGCTCACGAGCAAGGAAGTACCGCAGGGCGATGTGCTTCGTTCTGTGCTCCAGTCTGTGCTCCTCACACAAGGCAATGGCAGCCTTGTTGTCGACGTACAGTACTGGAGGAGAACGAGGCCGCTCTCCGAGGTCGGTCAGCAGGTAGGTCAGCCAGCGTAGCTCCTGGGCAGCCATGGCTGTAGCGTAGATCTCAGCCTCGCAACTGGAGCCGAGAACAGAAGAAGAGCGTGTAGAGCGCCAAGAAACTGAGCCAGAGCCAAGGCTGAAGGTGTCTGGCCTGGTCGTCTGCCCAAGAAGCGTCTGAGTGCCCTGTGAGCACAACTCGGTCTCGCCCTCCAAGCACAAGCCCCATGCCCGACGTACTGCACAAGTAGCGCAACACCCTCTTAGCGGCATCCATGTGCTCCTTCCTGTGACGGCCAGGAGCAACATAGCGTGCAAGGATGCTAAGAGGGTACGCAAGGTCAGGTCGAGTGCAGGTCATCAGGTACATGAGGCAGCCCACAAGCTCTGGATACGGGCCACTCGGCTCTACGGACTCATCCGAAGGCAGAGCTGAGAGCGAGTGACCGGTAGGCAGAGGAGTGGACTGAGGCGAGGAGTACGTGAAGCGGAAGCGCTGGAGAACCTGCTGCACCATGTGTGACTGAGTCAGGGTGATGGTGCGCCGTGCTCTGTCCCGGGTGATCCGCAAGCCAAGATAGCTTGTCAGCTCACCCAGGTCTGTGCACGTGTGTCTCCTCTGCAGCTCCGACTTCACGTAGGCGAGTCCTGCAGTGTCAGCAGTGGCAAAGACCAAGTCGTCGACGTACACGAGGATGTAGAACGGCGGCAGCGAAGTGTCGGTGCGCAGGAACAGCGACGGGTCAGCTGTAGAAGGCGCGAACCTAAGAGCCGCAAGTGTAGTCCTCAGTGTGTCGTGCCACTCACGCGGAGCCTGGCGGAGACCGTAGACCGGCCGCTGAAGCCTCCACTGGGTACCAGGAGGAAACGACCCAGTGAAGCCAGGTAGGCGGCGCAGCCAGATCTCCTCGTGCAGGCTGCCCTGCAAGAAAGCAGTGCTGAAGTCAAGTGAGTGAAGCTCGTAGTCGCGGTGAGCGGCTATGTGCAGCAGCACCCGAAGAGTAGTCATCTTCGGGGTGGGGGAGAAGGTCTGGAAGAAGTCAACTCCCTCTCGCTGACTGAAGCCTCGAGCCACGTAACGCGCCTTGAAGACAGGCGGAGAACCCGGCGGCCGCTTCACCCTGAAAATCCACATGCCACTGACGATGTTCGCCCCAGGAGGGGGAACCTCGTCGACGTAGGTGCGTGTGGACTTCTAGGAAGCCATCTCGGCGTCCATGGCTGTCTGCCACTGAGAGGAGTAGGGACCCGCCATCGCCTCAGCGTAAGTGCGCGGGGTCGGGATGTCTGGTGCATCCGGGTCTCCCTCAGGGGCAACTAGCAAGGACACAAGACGGGGCAAAGCAGCAGCAAGACACTGGAACTCCTCCTGTCTGTCCTCAAGGACGTCCGTGCCAAGAGCACACTCACCCCCGACGGACGGAGGACAGACAGACTCAGACTCAGACTCAGCAACAAGGCTAGCAGCGTAGTCTAGACGACAGGCAGCAGCAAAGTCAACCAACTCAGCGACCAGAGCAGACGCAGCCGAGGACTCAAAGGTAGGGTCAGTGACAACAGTAGCGAGGAGACGCGTGACAGTAGGGTGCTCAGCACGATACCGGTCAGACTCAGGGGCCGGAACGTCAGGCAAAGAGGACGCAGGAGGAGACGGTAGAGGGACACGCTGAGGAGCAGTAGAGGGACGCAGAGTCATGTAGTGAGTGCCTGGGACAGGAGGAGGACGCTCACGACGGACACGACGACCAGTGCGAGCAGGACGAACAGGCGACGCAGGACGAGACTCAGGCTCACGACGCTCTGCAAGACCTCCTGTGGGACCAGTGTAAGGAGAGGGAGCAGGGAGAGGCGAGGTAGGCGGTAACAGTGACTGCGGCTGGACAGGCGGAGGACACTCTACGGAGGGAGGAGGACAAGGAGGAGGAGCCTGCCCAAGAACCTGCTGAAGGAGCGGTACGAAGTACGGTCGCGGCCGCGCAGCGTCTCCAGAAGCAGAAGAGACTCCAGCGGCCGGGTCCTCAGTACCAGTAGGAGCTCCAGCGTCCGGGTCCACAGCACCAGTAGCAGCTCCACCGGCCGGGTCCTCAGCACCAGTAGTAGCTCCAACGCCCGGGTCCTCAGCAGCAGCAGCAGCGCCACCGCTCGGGTCCTCAGCTCCAGCAGCAGCTCCACCGTCCGAGTCCTCAGCACCAGCAGCAGCTCCACCGCCCGGGTCCTCAGCACCAGTAGAAGCTCCAACGTCCGGGTCCTCAGCACCAGCAGCAGCGCCACCGCCCGGGTCCTCAGCTCCAGCAGCAGCTCCAACGTCCGAGTCCTCAGCACCAGCAGCAGCTCCACCAGGCGGGTCCGCAGCACCAGCAGCAGCTCCAACGTCCGGGTCCTCAGCACCAGCAGCAGCGCCACTCCGAAGACTGCAGCGCCGTGTGTACCACTCGCGGATCTGCTGAATGGGGGGGAGCTCCCGGGTAGGAGGGGAAGTACCGGGACGAGCTCCAGCAGCACCTCTCCGGAGGCGACAGTACTCGAGGTACCTCTCCTGCAGCTGCTGGGAGGAGAGGGCTCCTCCAGGTGTAGCACGCTCAGGCTCAGCACCCCCGGACTCAGCACCCCCAGACGCAGCACCCCCAGGCTCAGCACCTCCAGGCTCCGCACCCCCAGACTCAGCACTCCCAGGCTCAGCACCCCCAGACGCAGCACCCCCAGGCTCAGCACCCCTAGCAGGACGAGAGTCAACAGCTACCTCGACAGGCTCACCCGGGTCTACCTGGGACACACCTGAGGGAGCGGCACCCTGAGGGGGGAGGGGGTCTGGTACCTCAGCACCTGGAGCGAGGAAGAGAGGTGGGGGGGGGGGAGCGGGGCAGTGCGGTAGGGGAAGAGGCGGTAGTAGGGGACGGACTCGTCAAAAGTGACGTCCTGAGAGGCCAGGACACGACGCGAGGTGGGGTGGTAGAACTGCCAGCCAGGGGCGTCCGGGACAAAGCCAAGGAAGACGCAGGGGACAGCGCGACGGGAGAGCTTGTCCGCGGACGTGTCGCGGACAAAAGCTCGGGATCCCCAGACCCGAAAACGCGACGCATCGCCAGCCTCTCCCGTCCAACGCAGTGTCGGAGAAGTCTCGGGCAAGGAGACACGGGGCCAGAGGTTGAGCTGATGCGCAGCGTATCGGACTGCAAACGGCCACAAAAAATGGGGGGCAGCCGCATGGCTCAAGGAGGTACGAGCGACCTCCATGACCAGACCAATGCGGCGCTCAGCAACCCCATTCTGCTGCGGAGAGGCCGGAAGCGTGTACGACTGCTCAATGCCCTCCTGCTGACAGAAGGCCTCCAAGAGGCCAGAGGTAAACTCCCCACCTCTGTCAGAGTGCAGACGCAGGACAGGGAAGTCGGAGCGGAAACGCTCACTGAGCTGGAGACGAGATCTGCGGATCCAGGGGATCAATACATCAGGGACGTCACCCTTGGCGCGCAAGGGGAAGACCGTGGTGAAGCGCGAGAAGTCGTCAACAACAATCAGGAAGTACCTCTCCTGACCCTGGCCACGGACGCGGGCTGGGCCCCACACGTCCAAGTGGAGCGTCTGCAAAGGAGCGGTCGTCGGGGGAAAGGAGGAGGAGTGAGGAGCGGCGCGCTGCCGCCCCTCGACACAGGGAATACAGGGAGGAGCAGGCGAGTCTGGAAGGGGAGGGAGTACCCTGGGAAGACCAGCAACAAGGTCCCGTTTGTGCATGGCCCGAAGGCGCTGCACAGACGGGTGACCAAGGCGGTGGTGCCAAAGGACAGTCTCATGCGCCAGAGAGCAGGGGGCGGACAGCTGACCTGACGCAGACGTAGACGCGGACGCAGCTACCTGAGGGGACTCAGTGGTCAGTGTGTAAAGGTCCGACCCCGGCTCCCGAGTGAAGGTAGCCAGGTGGCGACCCGTCCGAGCATACGTGCAGTGTGTCACGCGCTCGTAGGCGGGGGTGAACTGGTGAACACCCCCGTCCTGGAGCGCACTACCTGCCACCAAGTTCGTGGAGAACGAGGGGAGGTAGAGACCTGACAGCGTGCCGGACGGGACCGCCGGACAAGGAAGGACAGTGGAGGAGGTCGCAATGACCGGACCCCCAGAGGGGTCAGCAAGGGAGACAGCAACTGGCCGAGCGAGTGGCTCAAGGACAGTGCGGTCACGAAAGAAGGAGCGAGAAGCACCTGAGTCCAGTATGAAGGTGTGCAGTGCTGCAGTCGACTCAGTACCAGGGGGCACGGACGCACTAGCACCTAGGGCTGCAGCCTCACCAGGACCTGTGGGAGCAGACGCACTAGCACCTAGAGCGGCAGCCGGACTGGCCTGAATGCCCGGGTCGGGCGGAACACGCAAGTACTGAGCACCCTCTCCACTAAGAGACATTGCATACATGGCAGTGAGAATAGCATCAAAGTCTAAAGCCCAAATATCAACACCCCTCTTTTCCAGATCAGCCCAGCGCGGCAGCTCAGTGGCAGCAGGAAACTGAGTGCGCCACGCGTCGGTAAGGCGCGCGAAGCAGCGCTGCGTGGGGTGCGGCCTCCCACACTGCTGGCCGCTGCGGTCACCTGTGCGAATGACGTACGTGCAGGTAAAGCCACGCTGCGCATACCACTCACGAGCGGCCTGAAGCGTCGGGGCGGGCTGCTGACTCTGCCCTCCGCCAGTGCCTCCACGACCACCACCCCCACCGCCGCCGCCCCGGCCACCTCCACCCCTGCCGCCGCCACGACCACCTCCGCCTCCGCCGCCGCCTCCGCCACCACTCCCACCGCTGCTGTCTCCTCCCCCACTGCCGCCACTAGTCTCCCCAGCCGCGCCTCCACTCCCACCGCCTCCACCCCCACCTCCTCCGCCGCCACCCCCACCCCTGCCCCCCTTGTTCCTGCGGCGCCCGCTCGAAGCAGACGCGGTCCCGACCTTCTCAGCACCAAGAAGGTCGACAGCAGCAGCAGAGGCGACAGAGGGGAGGAGGGGGGAAGGGGAACACCCCTCAAAGAACGGGGTGCGGGGGTCGCCACGAGAGGTGCCTACAGCGACGATACTCGCCTCAGCTGCAAGCAGTTCCTTCTCGAGGAGGGCAACAGTGAGCTCAGTGGGGGAGCGAGAGAGGAAGTGGTCCCTGACTGCGCGCAGAGAGTCAGGGAGGCGGGTGACGATGTGGTAGAGAGTGATCCAGAGCGGGGGGGGGGTTGCTAGTGAGAAACTCGGCAGGCATAGCAGCGCGAAAGCGGGCCTCACTAGTCTTAAGGTGGGTGATGAGGTCTGCGACAGTGTGAAAGGAGGCTAGGTCAGGGAACAGGTAGGGGAGAGTGAGGCGGCCTAGCGTGGCAGAAGCGGGTGAGGAGTAGCGGGCAACTACAGCGGTGTAGAGGTCCTTAGCAGTCTTGCACTGGCCGAAGTGCTCGCGCTCGTCTAGCGGCAGGGAGTTGCGAATAGCAAAGCGAGCGTGCGCATCACGGGTCTGCCACTGGGAACGCAGAGTGCTGTCAGCAGTCGAGTCAGGGGCAGTGGCATGGCCTAGGGCGTGGTCGTACAGTGAGATATCTTCCTTGGCAGTGAGCTGTAGGAACAGGTGCAGGTCATCTAGCCAGGTTTCGAACTTCACTGGACGGCCCTCGGCATCGAAAGCTAGAACTGGAGGACTAGCCATAGTGACAGTAGCAGTAGCAGTAGTAGCAGTAGTAACAGTAGTAGTAGGAATCAGGCCGCTGGAAAGGTGTGCGGAGGGTCAACAGTCCGTAGTGGCACACGAGCGGCAGTAGTAGGTAGCGTGGCAGCAGGAGCTGCAACGGCGCACTGGTGGCAGCTGCAGTGGCAGCAGTGTGCGCGGTAGGTAGAAAATAAACAACAGTGAGAGCGAGTGCCTCGCGGGCGGCGGCTGCAGAAGCGCACGGGCGGCAGCGGCGCACGGGCAGCGGCAGCGCACGGGCAGCGGCAGCGTAGGGCAGCGGCGGCGCACAGGCAGCGGCGGCGCTCGGGAGGCAGCGGTGCGCAAGCAGCAGCGGAAGCAGCGGCGTACGAGCGGCTGCGGGCAGCGGGGCGTGCGCGAGCAGGCGACGGGCGGCTGCGGGGCGTGCGCGAGCAGGCGACGGGCGGCTGCGGGCGGGCGGCCGCTGCGACGGCGGGCTGCGGGCCTGCGGGGCGTGCGCGAGCAGGCGACGGGCGGCTGCGGGGCGTGCGCGAGCAGGCTACGAGCGGCTGCGGGGCGTGCGCTAGCAGGCGACGGGCGGCTGCGGGGCGTGCGCGAGCAGGCGACGGGCGGCTGCGGGGCATGCGCAAGTAGGCGACGGGCCGCGCGCGAGGGAAATAAGGCGCGCGCGGGCAGCAGGCGGGGCGCACGTATGAAAACGACCGCGCGCGAGCGGCTAAGGGGCGGCGCGACGGGGCCTTAAGGGGCGGGTCGCGGGTCGCGGGATGTAGGGGCCGTTAAAAAAAATAAAAATTTGAGGCGCCCTAGGTAGTGTCAGAATCCCAGCCACTAACCACTGGGATAAAAGGGCTTGTTTGTGTGGCGGGTGAGTGCGCCCATAACCCCCCAGGCCAACGTGCTTGTAACCCTTCCCTAGGATCAACGGGGATCACCAGTGGACCTCTGACACCCCCCCGCACTGGGATGCCCGAAGTGCATACACCGGGATTCGAACCCGAGACCTTTGCTCTGATACCATGTCAGAATCCCAGCCACTAACCACTGGGATAAAAGGGCTTGTTTGTGTGGCGGGTGAGTGCGCCCATAACCCCCCAGGCCAACGTGCTTGTAACCCTTCCCTAGGATCAACGGGGATCACCAGTGGACCTCTGACAGGTAGGTAGGTAGGGAACGGTGGGCCCTTAAAAAAAAAACGGTCCTAGCGAAGGACCTGCTCTGAAACCATGTCAACGAGAACGGACTGGAATGATGAACTAGCAAGGATTGTGAGTACAAATATGAAACCCTAATGTTGTGACCCCCCTATAGGCTAACCCACTACAGCCTACACAAATACAACATGTATAATGTTTGACAAATTCGACAGATATAGACATTCCAAACGTGCATGGTACCTGTACTACAGGCGCGCATGCTGACCAAACTGACCAGCGCATTACTTATATTTGCAGAGACATTTAGTACCATTTTCTTGCCAGTCTACTAGATTAGGCCTTGTATTTTAATAATACTAGGTTCTAACCTTTTCGATCCACATAATTTGGGAGATTTCAGAGTTTCAGCTACGCCTTGTACCTGCACACAAGCGTGCATACTGACAGAACAGACCAACGCATTATTTTCTATGTAGAAATACAACGAGTATCACATATGTTTCCGTTTTCCAATATATTATACCATTCCCCACCCCCCCACCACGTTCTAACCTTTTAGATCTACATAATTTGACAGATATAGACATTCCAAACGTGCATGGTACCTGCACTACATGCGAGCATGCTGACCAAACTGACCAGCGCATTACTTATATTTGCAAAGACATTTAGTACCATTTTCTTGTCAGTCTACTAGATTAGGCCTAATAATACTAGGTTCTAACCTTTTTGATCCACATAATTTGGGAGATTTCAGAGTTTCAGCTATGCCTTGTACCTGCACACAAGCGTGCATACTGACCGAACCAACCAACGCATTATTTTCTATGTAGAAATACAACGAGTATCACATATGTTTCCCTTTTCCTATATAATATACCATTCCCCACCTCCCCACCAAGTTTTAACCTTTTAGATCCACATAATTTGACAGATATAGACATTCCAAACGTGCATGGTACCTGTACTACAGGCGCGCATGCTGACCAAACTGACCGGTGCATTACTTATGATTGTAGAGACAATAGGTACCATTTTCTTGCCAGTCTACTAGATTAGGCCTTGTACTTTAATATAACTAGGTTCTAACCTTTTCGATCCATATAATTTTGGAGTTATTAAAGTTTCAGCTACGCCTTGTACCTGCACACAACCATGCATACTGACCGAACCGACCAACGCATTATTTTCTATGTAGAAATACAACGAGTATCACATATGTTTCCATTTTCCTATATAATATACCATTCCCCACCCCCCCACCACGTTCTAACCTTTTAAGTCTACATAATTTGACAGATATAGACATTCCAAACGTGCATGGTACCTGTACTATAGGCGCGCATGCTGACCAAACTGACCAGCGCATTACTTATATTTGCAGAGACATTTACTACCATTTTTTTGCCAGTCTACTAGATTAGGCCTTGTATTTTAATAATACTAGGTTCTAACCTTTTCGATCCACATAATTTGGGAGATTTCAGAGTTTCAGCAACGCATTGTCTCTGCACACAAGCGTGCATAGTGACCGAACCGACCAACGCATTATTTTCTATGTAGAAATACAACGAGTATCACATATGTTTCCATTTTCCAATACAATATACCATTCCCCAACCCCCCACCACGTTCTAACCGTTTAGATAGACATAATTTGACAGATATAGACATTCCAAACGTGCATGGTACCTGTACTATAGGCGCGCATGCTGACCAAACTGACCAGCGCATTACTTATATTTGCAGAGACATTTAGTACCATTTTCTTGTCAGTCTACTAGATTATGCCTTGTATTTTAATAATACTAGGTTCTAACCTTTTCGATCCACATAATTTGGGAGATTTCAGAGTTTCAGCTACGCCTTGTACCTGCACACAAGCGTGCATACTGACCAAACCAACGAGCGCATTATTTTCTATGTAGAAATACAACGAGTATCACATATGTTTCCCTTTTCCTATATAATATACCATTCCCCACCCCCCCACCACGTTCTAACCTTTTAGATCCACATAATTTGACAGATATAGACATTCCAAACGTGCATGGTACCTGTACTACAGGCGCGCATGCTGACCAAACTGACCAGCGCATTACTTATATTTGCAAAGACATTTAGTACCAATTTCTTGTCAGTATACTAGATTAGGCCTTGTATTTCAATACTACTAGGTTCTAACCTTTTCGATCCACATAATTTAGGAGATTTCAGAGTTTCAGCTACGCCTTGTACCTGCACACAAGCGTGCATACTGACCGAACCAACCAACGCATTATTTTCTATGAAAAAATACAACGAGTATCACATATGTTTCCCTTTTCCTATATAATATACCATTCCCCACCCCCCCACCACGTTCTAACCTTTTCACTTCACATAATTTGACAGATATAGACATTCCAAACGTGCATGGTACCTGTACTACAGGTGCGCATGCTGACCAAACTGATCAGCGCATTACTTTTTTTTGCAGAGACATTTAGTACCATTTTCTTGTCAGTCTACTAGATTAGGCCTTGTATTTTAATAATACTAGGTTCTAACCTTTTCGATCCACATAATTTGGGAGATTTCAGAGTTTCAGCTACGCCTTGTACCTGCACACAAGCGTGCATACTGACCGAACCAACCAACGCATTATTTTCTGTCGAAATCAACAGACAGGAATGATTGAACTAGCAGTGAAATCAGTACAAGTACCTAACCCTAGAATTGTGTACCCCCTATAGGCTAACCCACTGTAGCCTAAACAAACACAACATATATAATGTTTGACACACCCCCATAGGCAAAGTGGGGGAGAGCAAGGGGTCACAAGACCAGTCAAAGCAAAGCAAAACAAGCTCAGGGTGGATCTCAAGGATACCACACAAATTCCGAGCACAAGCAAGTGGTCACAAGACCAGTTCACATGCAGGTTGATAATATAGCAAGAGATACAGTGATCACAACCTAGCAAGTGTAAACATGCAGGCATATATATAAAGATCACAGTACAAGCAGAGTCAAGAAGTAAGTAAGTGAGGTCCAGCAGGCACAAGGCCTAGAAGAGTACAGAAACGCTGATGGTCACAAGGCTGAAGCGCCTTGGTGAACACATCAGCAAGGTTGGCCTCAGTGGCCACGTAACGCAGACGAAGCTGACCACGCTGCTGCAGCTCTCGAGCAAGGAAGTACCGCAGGGCGATGTGCTTCGTTTTGTGCTCCAGTCTGTGCTCCTCACACAAGGCAATGGCAGCCTGGTTGTCGACGTACAGCACTGGAGGAGAACGAGGCCGCTCTCCCAAGTCGGTCAGCAGGTAGGTCAGCCAGCGTAGCTCCTGGGCAGCCATGGCTGTGGCGTAGATCTCAGCCTCACAACTGGAGCTGAGAACAGAAGAAGAGCGTGTAGAACGCCAAGAAACTGAGTCGGAGCCAAGGCTGAAGGTGTAACCCTGAGACGACCGCTGAGTAGCCTGGTCGTCCGCCCAAGAAGCGTCTGAGTGTCCAGTAAGTACAACTCGGTCTCGCCCTCCAAGCACTAGCCCCATGCCCGACGTACTGCACAAGTAGCGCAACACCCTCTTAGCGGCATCCATTCGCTCCTTCCTGTGACGGCCAGGAGCGACATAGCGTGCAAGGATGCTAAGAGGGTATGCAAGGTCAGGTCGAGTGCAGGTCATCAGGTACATGAGGCAGCCCACAAGCTCTGGATACGGGCCACTCGGCTCTACGGACTCATCCGAAGGCAGAGCTAAGAGCGAGTGACCGGTAGGCAGAGGAGTGGACTGAGGCGAGGAGTACGTGAAGCGGAAGCGCTGAAGGATCTGCTGCACCATGTGTGACTGAGTCAAGGTGATG